GACAGGGCATAATTCAAGAATGGTAAATCGTATAATAATAGTTCATAGGTCAGAATAAAGCTTATGACAAGAGGAACACGATTATGAATAGTTTAATTACTTAATAATTATACAATTAAAATATACGCATAGTATTGGTCCATAAATGGATCTCCAAAGTTATCATTCATAATTCTCATCGGGATGTAACACTAATCTATTAGAATTTTTATTTGATATCCTACAATTAGCTCATATAAACGAAATCAATATAAAAGTATGTTCTGCATTTAGTTTTGGTGCTGAATCAGTCTATATTCTTATCCATGGAGTTCTAATAAGAATCTATCACCAATAGATTTCATCTATATCCGGAGAAGTAACAGTTAGCCATTGATGACATTAAAAGATGGTTGTGATATATCGTGAATTGATTAAGATCAAAATGTAAACTATCAGATCCGAAACTCTTCTTTTCGATTGCTGGTAAGTTCGTGAATGTACACTACCGACTAGTCCTATAATAGAACCAAATAACTATCCAGTGCATTGTCGTTTTCACTTATTATCTAACTAAGGTAAGTCTATAATGTAAATTACAAAAATTTATGTTTACAGTATGTCCCTGTTTTCCTAGATTCAATTGTATGTTTCCATGTACTATAGAGTGGACAAGTGCAACAATAAAAGTGCATTGAATTTGTCACAAACATCAATATTTCTTGTCTTGTTGAACGAGCGATATGATCTATAGTTATAAAAAGACACCAATTATTGATGTACCCTTTTAACTAACTTGATTGAATGATTCATTCTGATTTGTCTATCAGTAAAATATTATGTCTAATTAATGTTAACCAGACTACTTAAGAGTATGAATACAAATGTATCATAATAAAATCTCTATCTCATAAATAAAAAACAGTCTAAAATAGGACTCCTCAAGACCAAGACCTACAGTCTCGTGCGTAAAATGCATAACTTTAAGACTACTATGTCAAAATTCAACGATGTTAATGACCGAATTCAATCGATTCATGACTTTATGCAATCCTTCATCCATCATCTGACATAGATAATTGTCTCCATCTGTTATCTCTTTTCTCTTGTCAACCGAAATTCTAATTCAGAAATGTATGAATATATGATAATGAAAATAAAAATATGGTTGGTCATTGAGAATGGATGACTATTAAGTATGTGATTTCCTGTTCTCTTATTGATTTCTACTCTTAATTGATTCGTTGTAATTGTATTAAATAAACTATTATTCTGGTATTCATATGATTGTCTATTGTGAGTTATTGTGAATCATGGATCCGGTATAATGTGACTTGTCTCATTCACGTAATAACATCCTATGGTTATATACGTGAGGAAAGGAAGTAAACTTTACGGTAGTGATTAAACACATAGAAGAAGGACAATCTACTACTCATGGCTAGTACTAGATGAAAAGATGATTTTCAAAAATCTATACCTGTAAAAAGATGACTAAATAAGGAATGTAAATATGAATAAATTCCATAGTATAGGGTTGTGGAGATTAATGATTGATTGATTTAGATCATGAACCGATTGATGTTAGACCACCATCAAAAACCTGGAATCACTGGATGGACGTTTTGTCCCATTGTAGGACTCCTTAGCAGTGCGTATCCACGATCCCGCTCGCGGGATTCGCACCCAAAGCCTTCAGTCTCGTACGCAAACACTTAACCTCTAGACCACTGAGTCGGTATCCCATAGTAATTGTCAACTTTTCAGAAATAAACTATTCATCTAATGATCAGTTTGGGGTTGTGAAGATTAATAAGTTTTTGTTTGAGATCATAACATCTCAATTTTTCAGATTCGTTAAGGTTAGACATTAGCACTGTTGGATGCCGACTCAGTGGTCTAGAGGTTAAGCGTCCGCACGCAAGACAGAAGACCTTGGGTTCGGATCCCGCGAGGGTGGTCGTGGATGCGTACTGTTGAGGAGTCTCAAAATAAGACAAAACGACTATCCATTGCTTCCAAGTTTTCAGTGGTGGTCTAACATCAATAAAAAATTCATTTAATCTATGACATTTCTATTAAGGGATAGATATTTTATCCAATTTATTCGGTATTAGTGTTTTTGTAGTGTACAACACGGAATAACCTTGATTAGAAAGCCATTGGAAACTAGTAGTCATTGTATAGATGTTTCATACTGTCGTGTGTGCTACTGATGTTGACAGATATAAGTAGTATGTATCATCAATCGAAAGTGAAAGGCCTGGCTACAGAACGTTAAGAGGATGGAAGAAAAGAGAACGAGAATAGAGAATAACTGGTGTGGAAACGAAAGAATACTGAATTCTGAGACAACTGATCAACATTTTGGAAATGGAGTATTTCCTGTATGGTTCTCAGATTTTATTAAGTTGTTTGGTAATTTTGTATGCAGATACATTCGATTGACCCCATTTGTGCTCTCGTTCACTACAATACTAGTATCAAACTCCCCATCAAAATATATATTTATAAACCCATAGGAGTCAAACTTAAGAGTCTCAACTCTCATGTTAAGCACTTAATTTTTAAACCACTGAACATGATCCAGTCATTTATATTGCTAACTTTAACTAATTCGTGATATCATGCAACCGTCTTCCAGTGCTATCGGATGCACACTTCTGATACGTCCTGCAATAGAACAAAATAATTGTCCAATAATTCTTGTTTCTTTTTTCCATTGATTATCTAACTAAAATCAATCTATGTTTAGAACAATGAAACTTGCCACAAACCATCTCTCTTACGATGAACGCTTAAAACGACTAAACCTTTTCCCCTTGTCGTATCTTAGGAAGCGAGGTGACCATATACAGGAATCTCGTATCTTTAGTTGTGATTTTGGCGTCCTGAACAATCCTTTCCAGCTCCTTCCAGTTCTTTTTCATCCTTCTCATATCTCATCCTACTTCCCAACCTAATGTGTTCTTTCGCCTTCCTCTTTTCCCTTTCCCTTCAGAATTCCAACTAAGGGCTTGCCTCATGATGTAGTTTGATGGTTTTTCATATATATGTCCTATCCATCTCCATCCTATTTTCCTAATTTCCTCTTCATGTGGAAGCTGGTTTCTTCTCTCCCACAGTAGGCTGTTTTTTGCAGATGGTATCGGGCGAATGATTGTTGAGTATATTGCGTAGAAAACTACTTATATATACTTTTACTTCCTTGATGACGGTTTTAGTAGTTCTCGAAGTTTTAGATCCGTACATTCGAACTGTCTTGATGTTCGTATTGAATATTTTCAATTTGATATTGGTTGATAGTTGTTTTGAGTTCGATATGTTCTTCAATTGTAGGAATGGTGTACTTGCTTTGTCAATCCTCGCCTTTACATCTGCATCTGAACTTCCCTGTTTATCGATGATGCTTCTCAGGCACGTGAAAGACTCCACATTTTCCAGTGTTTCGTCATCAAGTGTGATTGTGTTGGTGTTTTCGTCTTGTATATGTTGAGGCCTACTATTGCAGAGGCTGCTGATACACTGACTGTCTTCATCTGCATTTGTTCGTGTGTATGTGATAGAAGGGCTAGATCGTCTACAAAGTCCAGGTCGTCTAATTGGTTTTGAGTTGTCCATTGTATTCCGTGTTTTCCTTCAAATGTTGAGGTCATCATAATCCAGTCGACCACCAGAAAGAGGGAGGGAGAGAGTAAGCAGCCTTGTCTGTCTGCGGTCCTTACTTGGAATGCATCTGTCATCTGTCCTCCATGAACGACTTTGCATTGTAGTCTGTCGTATGAGTTCTGGATAATATTGACAATCTTCACAGGAACTTCGTAGTGTCGAAGAAGTTTCCATAACGTCTTGCTATCTACACTGTCAAATGCCTTTTCATAATCAATGAAGTTGATGTACAGTGTTGAGTTCCACTCAATTGATTGTTCAACGATGATCTGTAGTGTCGCAATTTGGTCTGTGACATTAAAATTCACAAATATTGTCTTAGTTTAGTCAATGTCATTTCTTTTAAATTATGAGTTAATGAGTTCACCTTAGAAAATTAGATGAAAAATTATCGAGTTTAAGTGAAATGATAATCATTTCATAGTTGAATTCATAATTCGATTAAACCTTTTTAATGAGATTCCTTTTTATTAGATGTAGTTACTATCCCTATTACCTAACCAACTCCTTTTATCCAGCATTGAGGCTAAGATTAAACATTTAAAAGAGATTCAAGAGAAGTTTCCCTCATGTGCATAATTCACTTATTCTGTTTCGAACTTTAGAACAAAATGTTTCATTAACATTCTTTTACAATATTAAAATGAGATTTTCAACCAACTGGAAGGAATCATTATAGAATCATTCATTTGTGAAGAGAAAGATTTTAAATGTTGTCTTCTAATTAGTATTTATGACGTTATTCTTCTCTTCCTTTTCCTCTTTTTTTCTTTCTACTGCTCTGCATGATTTCGTCTCTAAATTATAAGTATTCATCAACAATCTGAAAGTACTATGTTAATTATGTCATTATCTCCTTACTCTCCTTCCTCCATATGTTTATCTTTGCCTTTATTAAACTTAATTTCATTAATTAAACTGTATACAAAAATTTTCATTTAATTATAACTTTAAACTAATTTACAATGGATAAGAAGCATTAAAATAGAAATAAATCACATTCAATTTGTTATCTAAAGACAAATGAATATCTTACTATGTTTTTTGTTTGTTTAAATCACATTATGTAGTATAGTTCTAATGAGATTATTTTCTTAAAAGGAAAACAACCAAACAAAACAATAAAAGTAGTAACGATAACGATAATAATAGAGACAGCGACAACAACAACGACAGCTACGACGACAGCAACAACAACTACAGTGAGAAAAATAGCAACGGCAACGACAACGACAGCTACGACGACAGCAACAACAACTACAGAGAGAAGGATAGAAACAGCAACGATAATGACAGCAACGACAACGACAGCGACAACAACTACAGCGAGAAAAATAGCATCAGCAACGACAATGACAGCAACAACAACTACAGCGAGAAAAATAGCAACGACAACTACAGTGACAACAACGACAGCTACGACGACTCCAACGACAACTACAGCGAGAAAAATAGCAACGGCAACGACAACGACAGCGACAACAACGACAGCTACGACGACAGCAACAACAACTACAGCGAGAAAGATAGCAACGGCAACGACAACGACAGCAACGGCAACGACAACGACAGCAACGGCAACGACAGCGACAACAACGACAGCTACGACGACAGCAACAACAACTACAGCGAGAAAAATAGCAACAGCAACGACAATGACAGCAACGGCAACGACAACGACAACAACGACAGCTACGACGACAGCAACAGCAACTACAGCGAGAAAAATAGTAACGGCAACGACAACGACAGCAATAACAACAACAACGACAAAAACGACAGCTACGACGACTGCAACGAGAACGACAGCAACGGCAACGACAGCGACAACAACGACAGCTACGACGACAGCAACAACAACTACAGCGAGAAAGATAGCAACGGCAACGACAACGACAGCAATGGCAACGACAACGACAGCTACGACGACAGCAACAACAACCACAGAGAGAAAGATAGCAGCAGCAACGACAACAACGACAGCTACGACGACAGCAACAACAACTACAGAGAGAAAAATAGTAACGGCAACGACAACGACAGCAATAACAACAACAACAGCATATTTTTCACAATATGCAATAAATTGAAACTTGAGTAGATTTTAACTGATGTCTGTCTGAGAATTTTTCTTTTAATAATTTTTTCTATCTTTATCTATAATTTTATCTATTTTTCTGTATGTTTGTTTTTTATTTATTTATGAAAAAAAAGGAGGTATATTATACAATTATGATTGAGTAATTTGATAATTAAAGAAAACTATGTGTATTTCCCTACTTCCTTCCTTCCTTCCTTCCTTCCTCCCTTCCTTCCTTCCTTCCTTACTTACTTCCTTACTTCACTTTACTTTAATTAGAATGATATCGAATAAGAGGATCAATTGAAAAGATATGAAATTCGTGAAATATTCATATTTGCTTTTAACGAATTCTGTCAGAATCACTGATTTTATATTGATCAAAATAAAATGAAATGCTTTTCATTTATTTGTATGGTTGTTGTTTTTTTTCACTATGAAGAAAGAAAAGATGATAAAGCACGCGCACCGATGCAAACGAGAGAAAGATTTACCGGATTAACAGTATGAGATTGTGGAGATTGTCATGGTTTTTGATTGAGATCATGAATTGATTAATGTTAGACAACTATTGTAAACCTAGAAGCAATGGATGGTTGTTTTGTGCCAGCATGGGACTCTTCAACAGTGCATATCCACGATCTCATACACGTGACTCGAGTCTAGAACCTTCAATCAGTTGGAACTTTGGATTGAATTGTATAACTAGTAATAATACCGAAGAAATCAAATGTTGTACATAAATACACACATGAGTATAATAAGATAACGAAACAATTGCTGAAACAGTAGTCTTTATGACGACTAATAGCTTTAATCTTACTAGTAATCACGCCAATAATATAGATACATTATGTGAACAACATATTTGTCATCATTGAAAAGAATGAATTGAGAAATGACTGGAATTTATTCAACAGTATACAATTCATATTGCAAAAGGAGCCCGAAAAAAATCTCTCATTCTTGGATATGTCTCTTAATAGAACTGATAGGGAGAAACTAGAGATTTAGGTGTATTGGACGATGACCAAAATGAGTTTTATTTAAAATTTCAATGCATTTTCAATCATAGTCGGTACCATGGTATGTTTCTACAAATATATGTATATGAACAATAGATATGAATACTACATCATGATTACGGACCAACCGGTTAGTCTTTATCATCTTTTTCCTTGGTATCCATGTGTGTTTGACCGAGTTACCGAAAGATTCGAAATAATAGTAAAATCAATGATAGTATGAGGACCTAAACACCGACTGAATATGGTTGAGAATTAAGAAAGGTAAATAGAATCGTTATATAGGGTTATTAAAACTTATGATTTAAATGGAAATAAGAAAATGTATATGTTTTATTGTGACTGATTCAAACACACGATAGATTATTAGAGTCTATTTTAATGATTGAATTCATGAGTTGATGTAAGCTAGATCAACATGAAAAACCTGGAAGCACTGGACTGCCGTTTCGTCCTGTTGTGGAACTCCTCAGCAGTACGCAGCCACGATCCCTCTCCCGGGACTCGAACACGGGGCCTTCAGTCTCGCACGCGAACGCTTAACCTACTGGACCACTGAGCCGGCATCCAGTGGCGTTAATCTCTAACCTCAACTAATCCACGAAGTTGCGCGACCATCTTCCATTGTACTGAGGCAGACATCTGTTTCTACCCGACACAAATTAGCTCCACTGGTCACGGCTTCTCACCAGAACTCCGAGAATTTTCTCACGAAACTAGTCACCATTGAGCACATGGTAATTATGAGTATAGGGGTTGTGGAGATCGTTAAGTTTTGATTGACATCATGATCCGATTGATGTTAGATTCTCATCTGCCATATACAACCTATAGTATTTTGAAATTAACGTTATTACAGATATTGACATATTTATACATACGAAGGTGATGACAAATGAATATATGTATCATAATATAACGAAGATTACGTTAGGGTTAATAGGGTCAGAAAAAATATTTTGTTGTGGATACGTAAAGTTTCAGAAGGAAAGTTCTAGTACATTGTATTAACGATTAGAACTCATAGAGTTAACAAACATTAGATGATTAAGTAATGAAGTAACTGAAAACAGATTATTATCTTGGATTGGTTGAAGTTAGATATTAAGGCAATTGGATGCCGACTCAGTGGTCTACATATTAAGCGTTTGAGCATGAGACCGAGGGTCCTGAGTCTGAATCCCACGAATAGGATCGTAGATACACCCTGCTGATTACTCGCATACTACGACGAGACGGCCATCCAGTGCTTCCAGATTTTCTATGATGGTCTAGCTTTAATTGACTCATCGATTCAATTATTGAAAACAGATTAATGTTAATAAAGAAAAATAAGAATAGAAATCACTCAATTAGGGGTTAAGGAGAAACGATGGTGCTGTAATCAAACTTCACAAAGAGTTGAAATAATGAATGATGCAATAAAAAGGATGTGATGTTATCAAGATAACAAAAGATATAATGCTGTTTCTTTTTGGACATACAAATCTAGTTTTAGATGTTTGATCACTATCACTTCGGGGAATTTCAACAATCGATATTCTATTGTTTATTAATCAACTTGAAAAACTTCCGTATATTCACTTGATGTCCTGTTTCAATGAGAGGTTTTGAGATGACACTGATGAAGGTTAATGCAAATTTGTTACAATTTGTCGGTTTTTGCCCCTATCAATGTATAACGTAACGATACTGCCAATTGGTGAACAGTGAATTATCGACAAGATCGAAGACACATAAACTCGTATGAGCATACTGGGTTTATATACCAACCAGACAGATCACATTGTATCATAAAATAGGAAACAATATTTGTACAAGATTTAGCCAAATATGACTGTAAATGTGAAGGGTAGTAACTGATAGACTTGGGTATAATTCAACAATGGTAAATCGTATAATAATAGTCTATAGATCAAATGGAAGCTTATAATAAGAAGAACATGAATATGCAAAGTTGAACTACTTAACAATTGTGCAATAAAAAGTATATGTGTCATATTGGTCCATAAATAGATTCCATCAGTTATCATCCATGATCCTCGTCGGGATATAATAAAATTAGCTTAAATGCATAAATTAATGTTTTGAAAATATAAGACTGAACATATTCATATGTTTTCATGCATGAAGGACATACGGCTTAGTGCATGTTACATCTGTTTCACATATAAGATGTGAAAAAAATGCGTACTATCGGATAGCTGTGTAGTTTCTCTTCACCTTCCATGAGATGAATATGAAGCATATATATATATATATATATATATATATATATATATATATATATATACCAAAAATGATGTCTAAAGAATGCCACGTACTACATTTACAGAAAGACTGTAATAAGCTCGTCAAGCGTTTAACTACATTTTCATTAGTTTCAGTCTGTACGATTTAGTATCGCGTAAACTGCAGGCTATACAAGTGTCAGTATTTATCATTCTTAAAAATGTAATTGTTACAGTGTAATCGGTTTTTCGTAACCACAGAATTGTTTTGGAACATATAAGAATGATGTGAATTTGGAAAAATACAAAAAGGGAACAAATGCAACTGTAATATAAGATCATGGATACGTAATGATGGCTGAACTGTTATTGAAGTGTGACTCGCTGAATTTACAAAACTGCAAAGACAAAAAGCGAATATCCGGCGCTCTAACAGGGTTCGTCTATATGGAGGATCCATCTAGAGGAGTTGGAAAACCCTGATTCCAAACTAATGGTGTACATAGGCTCCAGTATCATAAAAGAACAGTTGATATACGAAGCTATTGATCGTCACCGGCCACTATAAGACTGTATATCCTTTCGTTGCTTCACTGCATTGTGGATCAAACCTTTAGGTCGAAGGCCCCATGAGTGATCCCCTAAGAAAACCACCTGTTTCGATTTGGGCACACGGGCAGTATCCCAGCCTTCACACAAATCAAGTGACTTGTATGATGCATATGTATTCGATGCCAATTTAAACAAATATTTATGTGTTCCAATAAATAAATAAATAGTCATTGAAAACATAGAAAACGTTAATCGTATGCGAATGACAGTAATTTGTTGATACAGTTTGTAATGAATTACAAAATGAAAAAATTTATATCAAATTATATTTGGCCCGGGGGAGCATCATCGATAAACAGGGAAGTTCAGATGCAGACGTAAAGGCGAGTATCGACAAAGCAAGGACCGCATTCCTACAATTGAAGAACATATCGAACTCAAAACAACTATCCACCAATATCAAATTGAAAATATTCAATACGAACATCAAGACAGTTCGAATATACGGATCTAAAACTTCGAGAACTACTACAACCGTCATCAAGAAAGTAAACGTATATATAATTAGTTTTCTACGCAATATACTCAACAATCATTCGCCTGATACCATCAGCAACAAACAGCCTACTGTGAGAGAGAAGAAACCAGCTTCCACATGAAGAGGAAATTAGGAAAATAGGATGGAAGTGGATAGGACATATATGTGAGAAATCATCAAACTACATGACGAGGCAAGCCCTTAGTTGGAATTCTGAAGGGAAAGGGAAAAGAGGAAGGCGAAAGAACACATTAGGTTGGGAAGTAGGATGAGATATGAGAAGGATGAAAAAGAACTGGAAGGAGCTGGAAAGGATTGTTCAGGACATGGTTTGATGGAGAATGTTGGTGAGCGGCCTACGCTCCTTTGTGATGTGTAACAGGAGTAAGTAAGTAAGTAAGTAAGTAAGTAAGTAAGTAAGTAAGTAAGTAAGTAAGTAAGTAAGTAAGTAAGTAAGTAAGTAAGTAAGTAAGTAAGTAAGTAAGTAAGTAAGTAAGTAAGTAAGTAAGTAAGTAAGTAAGTAAGTAAGTAAGTAAGTAAGTAAGTAAGTAAGTAAGTAAGTAAGTAAGTAAGTAAGTAAGTAAGTAAGTAAGTAAGTAAGTAAGTAAGTAAGTAAGTAAGTAAGTAAGTAAGTAAGTAAGTAAGTAAGTAAGTAAGTAAGTAAGTAAGTAAGTAAGTAAGTAAGTAAGTAAGTAAGTAAGTAAGTAAGTAAGTAAGTAAGTAAGTAAGTAAGTAAGTAAGTAAGTAAGTAAGTAAGTAAGTAAGTAAGTAAGTAAGTAAGTAAGTAAGTAAGTAAGTAAGTAAGTAAGTAAGTAAGTAAGTAAGTAAATTATATTTTGCCCTAGGAAAGGCCTTCTATCGATCTCTTCATTCTAACTCCTTAATCATTTCCCTTTCAGCGTTTTTTCTATTTCCACATTCTCTTTATTTCCTCAATAATCACTTCACAATAAAGTTAGATTCTTATTTAGTCAATAAAATATGAACGTAATAAAATATTGAAATTCATTCTTTTTATCTATTTGATATTCATATAACAACGGAGAAAAGAGAAAAAGGAAAAGGAGAAAGTAGAGAAGTGATATTTATCTCATTCATTTTACATGTAACAGTTACACATGGATAATTGTTCTCATTTAATGACAAATCAAAAACAATCTGGAATTAACCAAGATAATAATAATAATAATAATGTAATTAAATCTTTTAGAAAACAACAACAACAACAACAACAAGAAACTATGTATATGTATATTTTGGTGGTGTTTTGTTCTCTGAGCTGGATGGTTTGGTCGTGGAGCTTTCATCGTTCTTCTGAACGACATCATCAGCACAAACTTCAGATAGAAGTGAAGTGTTCGAATTTCTCCATATGTGTTTCACAGCTTGTTCTGTGCACGTCGATGTTGATTGGTTCTTGTTGACCTTAAATTTATCATTGTTTACTTCTTTGTTTTGGTTGTGTCTCCCATTGGTTTGATTTTTGTTCTGCAAATACCAACACGTCATAGAAGACCAAAAGATAAAGCTACAAAGGATGCTCACATCAGAACATTTGGAAATCGTGAAAACAGCCATAAGAAACAAAAATCAAACCAATGGGAGACACAACCAAAACAGAGAAGCAAACAATGATAAATTTAAGGTCAACAAGAAACAATCAACATCGAGGTGCACAGGACAAGCTGTGAACCATATATGGAGAAATTCGAACACTTCACTTCTATCTGAAGTTTGTGCTGATGATGTCGTTCAGAAGAACGATGAAAGCTCCACGACCAAACCATCCAGCTCAGAGAACAAAACACCACCAAAATCATCCACATGAGCTACAAATCTTCTCCACCATCTCAAAGTATATGTATATAAAAGATAATGAATCAATAGTTAGAATGATAGAATATTCCTGTGAATTGTCGACTTTCACTAATTCACGGATTGTATACATCTATAATCAATAACTAATTCTGCCTGGAGTCCCTCCATGAGCTACTGCCGGTCCAAAGCCCGAATAAAGGAGGAGGGTTGGGCATGGGGTTAACGACCCTTAGCCGTATAAAACTAACTCGTTAAAAAAGCGCTAATCAGAAAAAAGTATCATCAATAACTATTCATAATTTAAAAATCCCCATAGAATATTCAAAAACGAAGAATATTTGAGCGAACAATTGTTTTCAATAACTTCATCAACAGGCTCTACAGTTATAAGTCCATAATGATTGTGATATTTTACAAAGGCCAAGAATAAGGCATGTATTAATGAATTTGACAATGTTATGTGTTAAAAATGGTGAACGTTTGCATCTGTTACGATATAGATATATATACTTCAAAAAATTGTCATATTTGCAAATTAGAAAGGTCATTCAATAAAGGTCAGTAAATGGTTCAGTCACAATAAGATAATACTACTATTGCAAAATTGAAAATATAATATAATATAATATTCAGTCTAGGTATTTGGTGATCTAGTCGTAGACCAGGGTAAACATACAGGCTGGATATATTTTTTCTGGATGCATAAATTAGGTCTTCTGGAGTTGATCCAGATGGCTTCGGTTGTGTAAAGTAGTCGTAATCTAGCTCCTTGAGGTAGATATTTTGGAACTTGATATAAAACAGAGAAAGCTTCCTCTATTTTAATATGATGTTCACTATCTACCAAGTGAGAAAGAATGGTGCTGTTAATCGATTTGGTGACTCCTTTTCCCAACCATGCTGGTATATGTTCACGAACACGCAAGGATAAAGCCCTCTGAGTACGGCCTATGTAACTAGCTCCACAGGAGCAGTTGAATTGGTATACACACATGGAGGAGCCCATCTTCGGTAACTTATCCTTGATTAGTTGTGTGAGTACTGACTTAGTCGAGAAAGTTATGTGTAACTTGGCGGCATGAAACGTCCTCTCGACAGATCTTTTGAGTCAACGTGTTAGAATATCACCCGCTATGTCGCCTTTAAAGTCAAGTTTCAGATATAAGGTCTTTTTACTGACCGTGTCGCAATGTCTTCTCTTTTTAATACTTTGTACGAGGTATTTTTTGACGAAATTATCCGGATAGCCATTATTACGTAATGTGTTCTTTAGTATAACTATTTCTTCCTCCACACTGTCTTCAGAACATAATACCTTGATTCTGTGGTTGAGACACTTAACCAAATTTATTTTATATTGCAGAGGTGTGAAGCTTTGGAAATGGGTATACTGACCCGTCCATGTACACTTTCTAAACATATTTCGCTTTATGGAACCATCTATTCTTCTAGAGAGTCGGACATCTAGAAAAGCTATGCTATTGTCCTTTTCCTCCTCGCTGGTGAATTTAATGGCTGGGTGGACATTATTGAAAGCGTCTAACATCTCCTGTTTGTCGATATTTTCGTCACATATGATTAATGTGTCATCTATGTATCGACAGTAATAATCAAGCTTATTTAGGATGTCTTTAAGCGGTCCATTTTCTAGTTTGGCTAGAAAAATATTAGCAAGGATCGGACCTAGAGGTGATCCCATTGCTACCCCATCTACTTGTCGGAAAAATTCATTGTTAAACTTAAAGTAGATATTCATAGTGCATTTCAACTATTCATAACACTAATTATCCTATATATATATATATATATATATATATATATATATATATATATATATATATATATATATATATATATATGTATAAACAGAATCAATGTAATAGAAACCTCTAAACAATAGGTCTCAATTTACATAAAGTAAAAAGTAACAACCTGAAATACAACACAAAGAACATTAACTCAATCACACTCGATGAAGAAACTCTGGAACAGATGAAAACTTCTACATATCGACGTGGTTAGTAGCATCATTGATGAATGTGGAAGATCTGATACAGACGTAAAGGTGACGATTGACAAAGTAAAGACTACATTTTTACAGTTGATTATTGTTATATCGCTTGGTTTTACCTCGTCTAATGTTATAACGGTTGATTTTCCAACGTTTATACATATGGGACGTTAATTTACCTTGGACAAATATCTACCCCACCTAGTGTTTATTCTACGGGGACTTCAACACAACTCAGATCAAGAACACGTGATTAGCCTATCCACAAAGTAACTATATTTCCACACCAAAACCCAACACAATCGAACAATCAATAATAAGTGAGTAATAATAGTAATAAAGACAGAGGAATATATAATTCATCTGACATCTGTCAGACTATCTACATGTCTGTCTGAGCAGATAACCAGTCATTATCATCTACGCCCCACATATCAATTATTTATTTATCTAAACACATAAACATTGGTAGAAGGAGGCACCAACTAGATATGCGTTACATAAATCATCCGATTTGTGTGAGGGCTGGGGTACTACCCGTGTGCCCAAACCGAAGAAAGTGGTTTCCTCAAAGGGAAACACCCTGAGTCTTTGACCTAAAGGTCTAATCCACAAAGCAGTGGAGCAACATAAAGAGATGTAGTCTCATGGTAGCCGGTGACCAATAATTGGTTCATGTGGCATTTGTGTCTTTAGGATCTTAGAGCCCATGTGTACCATTGGTTTGGAATCAGGGTTTCTCAACTACCTTATATGAATCCGCCGTATCTAGCAACCCGGTTAAAGCGCTGGACATTCTCTTTTTGTCCTCTCAATTTCGTAAACAACACTCCTGCCACGAGAAGGTAGTGAGTGGGACTTCTGTGGATGTGGTTGTATTTACGTGGCAACTTGAGAGCATTTGGGAGCCAACCACGGCATTGAAGGAACTCAAAACAACTGCCAACCAATACGAAAGTCACAATCTTCAATAGGAACTGTATGGAGGTGAAGATTGCAGAAGTATCACAACCATCATCAAGAATGCACAAGTACTCATAAATAATTGTAAACTGAAGATACTCATTGTTCGTTGTTGACCGGATACCATCAGCAACAAACAGCCTACTGTGGGAGAAAACAAACAAGCTTCCATCTGAAGAAAATATTAGAAAAAATGATGGAGGTTTATAGGACACACATCGTCGAAACTATCAAACTGCATCACGAAGGAAGCGCCAACTTGGAATCCTAAAGGGAAACAAAAAAGAGGAATGCCAAAGAACACACGGAGTCGGTAACTGGAAGCAGACATTAAAAATAGGAATAGTAACTGCAAATGACTGCGTAGTCTATCTCAGTACAGTGTTAAATGGGGAATACTGATGGATCGCCTATACTTCTCCACGAGGCGTAACATGCATCAGTAAATAAGTGTGTTTATTATGGTTTATTCACAACAGAAGGGAAACATTTATTACTGATGATATTCAACTAAAGTTAATAAATGTAAATCATGATATTATAAATCACTACATACATGTATCATATTAGTTAAGACATTTTATTTTGATTATATATGAAATCATAAGTAAATACAAATTTGGAATTGTGATCTTAGGTAAAATAGCTCTATAAATTAGCAAGAGGTCAACAATAAGATGCTTTGGATATACATTTTATTCCATTTAGGATTGATTACTAATTAACATAGAAGTGAGCATTAACCGTGGAGATCTTACTGTCAGAGGAGTTATGACTGCCTTATGCAGGACATAATTCCCCATCTATAAGATTAGAATATTTACAGTGATCTCTAAGTTAGTGATAATTAGTGTCATATTTATCAAACGTTAATAATAATTAACTGCTATTGATAGAGTTGCAGTGTGACAACTACTTAACATAACTCAACATCGTATGATCTATGGTTTGATGTTAAGTCATTAGGAGTAGTTCTTTGATGTCTCATTGCTCCTGATAGTTCCCTAGTCGATGTTACCCCTGATAAAAATTCTCCATTTTATTTATTCTCAACAAATATTAAATTTGTTTCAGTTTGGAAAGGACAGGAGGCTAGATGGTCTATGTTAGTCCTGTCAATGGTGGTCTGTCAGGTGATCCAAATTACTTTTGAAAGCGTCAACAGATGGAGCTTCAATCACTTGTTGAGATAATGAGTTCTATTCGTTGATGATTCGATGAGAAAGTTGATAGTCAGCTGACAAGTAATTTGGTTTGGGATTGTGAACATTTTTACAGTGTCCCAACTGGACAACCTTGAGTTCAGTAGTACTCTTTATTGATGCCCAAATGCCCTGGTATGGCCGAGAGTGGGATGGGTTCGCCCTCCCTCTCAAAATGCGCTCACACGGCCATGCGTTTACAACTTCTGCCAAGGAAGTCCTACTCACTGCCTTCTCGTGGCGGGAGTGTTGTTTGCGAAACTGAGAGGACGAAAAGCGAATATCCGGCTCTTTAACCGGATTACAAACCAATGGTGCACATGGGCTTCAGTATCCTGCTGGGACAAATGGGGTATGAACTAATTGTTGGTCACCAGCTTCCATGGGACTGCATCTCCTTACGATGCTCCACTGCCTTGTCGGTTAGACCTTTAGGTCAAAGGCTCGGGGAGTGGCCCCTTAAGAAAACCACCTGCTTTGGTTTGGGCACCCGGGCAGTATCACGGCCCTCACACATATCAAATGAGATTTGTGTGGCGCATATGTATCTGGTGCCCCCTTGTACCAATATTTATGTGTTGAAATAAATAAATACATTAATAATTTGCCTCTAATCCCGATATTCCTTAACTTATGTAACAGCTATCCCTGAAGAACTTTTTCAAAAGCCTTACTTAAATCAATTTAGGCTACATTTATAGGTGAATTTTAGTCATTAACAGAGCACCAAATTTCACGGGCTACTAATAAGTTAGTAAGACATGAATAACCTGTTCTAAAGTCATGCTGCTTTTAAAAAAGAATCCGGTTTTTATCGACATACTTAAACAACTCCTTCCAAATTGTGTTTTCTTAGGTATAAGTCCTGTACCCGTTTTGAAGACAGCACTTACTGTGGTGTTCTCCTAGTCTTTTTGTAATCGACCTTAGGTTACAGATAGATTAAAACATATGCTTACGGGATTCACTATGCATTATTTTTCTGAGTGCACTTAATTTAACTATTATTTTATTATAAGCAAAGATGGATAGTGGTTAGCAGTGAAATCCAGGACACGCGATTTGAGACTCATCAGCTCGATATACCTGCATCTCAGACTTAATGTTCACTCTGGAACTCGGACTCATTACCGTTCGCTTCAAACATCATCGTGTTATCTACTTAGCTAATGAGTCCTGATAACCACTTGCTTATTCAATGAGATGAAGTTGAAATTCACTTGATATTGTTTATTTGAATCTTCCCATTATTGTTTAGGACTGTAATGGAAAGATTCAAATAAACGATACCAAGTGAAAATTTCAACCGATGTCAAGCAAGGTTGCTTACTCTCACACTTTCTCTTTCTCCTGGCGATCGACTGGATCATGAAGACGTCAACATCTGAGGGGAAGCACGGGATACAATGGACATCTAGGATGCAGTTGGACAATCTAGACTTCGCAGATGATCTAAGTGTATAATGCGATGGCGTTTGAAGCGAACGGTACTGGGTTCGAGTCCCAAGTGACCATCAAGGTGCAGGTACATCCAACTAATGAGTCTCAAATAGAACAAAATGCGCATCCTGGATTCCACTGCTAACCACTATCCATCTTTGCACATAATGATTGTGAATCAAGGCTATATCGAAGCAATTCGCATAGGATGCACATATGCCAGTAACAGACTGATCAACTGTAGTCATAAATAACAATGGGAAGATAAAAGTAAAACAACACCAAGTATATTGATATAGATAGCTTGATAGTGAGTATTTCCTTTTTAATCATTTGAGTATTGAAAACCATCTCCATCATTTCATCAACTCATTTTATGCTTTACTAGTAACTACAAATACAATTACGTGTAAATGTGAGGATGTCCTACGAATGACCTTAAGGAAGCTCTAAGAAGCTCAGAAAGAGCCGAAAATATTCCATCTAATCATCTTTCAGAAGAACTTTTCAGAATCTCAATGTTTAGGTCCCTTATTTAACAAAAGCTAAAAACCACTGTCCTATCGAATTTGATCATGATCGGTTATTGTTGACAATTGTTCTCTCATAATCTGTGTATTTATTTCGACTCTGTTCCAGTTTAACATAATTCTTAAGGAACTAGGTCGAAAGTAAAGATAGATAGTGGCTAGCAATGGAATCCAGGACACGCGTTTCGTCCTATTTGGGACTCGTCAGCTAGATGTACCTGAATCTCAGAGTTGATGTGCCCTCTGAGACTCGTACTTAGTACTGTTCGTTTCATATGCCAACATGAGACTGATCAATTTCAGTCTTAAATAACAATGGAAAGATACGCGTATAACAACACCAAGTGAGTTTAGGTCGAACGTAGTTATGAATGTCTACACTCCTCTTATTATAAGCTTCATTTTGACCTATAGATTATTATTATTATACGATTTACTATTTTTAAATTATACTTGGTTTATTGATTATAGTCTCCCACATTCACAGCCACCTTTTGGCTTGATCTTGTACAAATGTTATTTCTTAATCTATGGTGTAATGCCGTCTGTTTGGCTGGTATATAAACTAAGTATGTTTGAAATAATAGAAACTGTCGTTGGCATTCTGGACTTGACTGAAAGGGTTAGGAGAACAAGGGACCAATAGGGACGCTAGGCCGCACATACCAGTCGATAAGTCATCGGTTTAGCACAGTACTAAGATTGTATAAGTCCCATTTCGATTGACGAATAAATCACGTAATAATAAGCCTGCTTTAAAGACACAACACAAACAATACTCATCTTTGAATACATGAGACTTGTTATATACTTTTTCTGAAGAACACTGTCTATCGTTTAATCTACCATATTGAATAACATCCTGCTTTTGGTAAACGATTTAGTCGAAAAACGTTTAATTCATTTCAGATAGATGATGTTTAGGTCAGTTTTGTCCACTGATGCAGTGAATTCAGGTTACGGCTATTCTGTTTTCTTGCAGAAGTTCATCATACCATTTTGTGTATAGTATAATTGAAAACTCGAATTTTTGTGTATAAAACATTGAAACTTGGTCGACAGGATTCGATCTGCACTAAGAAGGACCTGACATATATGACATTGATCACCACCCAGTTATCAGTCCATTGTAAATACATCTCAGTCCTACAGAAGGTCAATTGCGGCCCGGATAGCTCAGTGGTAACATCGCTGACTGTGAAACTAGGATGGCACGGGATCGGATCAGTCAGGGAGCATCAGTTCCATCAAGATTACAGGTACACCTTCCTGACGAAAGCCAAATAATAGGAAACGTAGGTCCAGAGTTTCCTGTCAACTACATTCAACTAGCATCTTATCTCAATATAGTGCACGCAATGTTGAGTCACCTAGACTAGTGCCCACATTGCAACTTGATCGATCTGTACTAAGAATAACCTGACATATATGATATTGATCACCACCTAGTAGCCAATCAATTGAAAATACCAAACTTGTTTTTTTTCTCTTCCTACTCATATTTTACTATGAATTTTACTCAATTATTACTATTTCCCTCAAATATTATTATCATAATCATGAATGTCAGTTTTACCACCACCACTACTACTACTTTAAGCACTACCACAACTACTACTACCACTACCACTACTACTACTACTACTGCTACTTTAAGCACTACCACAACTACTACTACCACTACAACTACTACTACCACTACCACTACCACTACTACTACTACCACCACCACTACTACTACGACTACTACTACTACTACTACTAATACTACTACTACTTTAAGCACTACCACAACTACTACTACCACTACCACTACTACTACGACTACTACTACTACTACTAATACTACTACTACTACTACTACCATACACCAACTGAAACCATAAACAATTTGCTATAGAAAGTTTACAGTACATCGATCCTATACTTTACAAAATAATCTTTAATTTTTTAATTACATACTTCAAACAAATTCAATTGAATAAAGAAGCAAACAGACATAGAAACAAGAAAACATAAGAAAAGAAAAACTGAAAAAAAAATGTTAATTAACATTTAAAATAGCAATAACAACAACGAAAAAAAACAATCATAAAAGAAAACAATGGCGAGACTATAATTTATAAATGAACCAATTAAGTAAAAGATATGGGATCTTAGATTTTGGCGTGAAATTTATTCATCCAATTGATGAAATAAAGTTTTAGCATTATCGATTGATGTGAATTCGTGATGATAAACCCTAAAATCTAATTCCTTATCTTAATTCATCAACTTTAAATCATCATTCTAATGAAATGAACACTCTCAAGGTCAATTTCGCGTCACTCAAACATTCTCCATAAATTCTAGTCTCATTACAGAGAGATAATCATAAATAATCTGAAAATACTATACAAATGTTTCGTCCTTTATATTGAACTCTTCAGTGATGTACACTAATATCTTTCTTTGTTCATTATTCAAGTTGAAATAAATAAAAAAAAACTTCATTTTCTTCATGAATCCTTAATCTCTACATGAATAAGTTGATAATTAGTGGTTATACAAGTCTAACTTTTTAGTTATATTTTGTAACTAACTATATTGTTTTCTTGTTCTATTGTTTTCCACATGAATATCTATCTATTGATCAGCTGATTTTGTTTTGTTTTTTTTTTCTTATGTTTCAAATGAGGAATAATTACTAGGTAATTTGATTGTTGTTTTCGTCTATTTTTCCTTATTTATTCTTTCCGTGTAGATTCAAATTCTGTTGGGAATCGTTTTATATTATGTTACTATTGTTACTATACTTTTACTAGTGTCATTTTGTATGTTTTGTTTTGCCTCTTTTGGTTACAATCTCATAGATGGAAATAACACAGTAGGATATGGATTGATGTTATCAATAAGAAATTTATTCAAATCTATGATGAATATAAAAGGGAATAGAAACAATTCGATTCTTATCAAAATATGATTGACTTGTTATATGTAATTCAATAAAGATGAAAGTATATATATATATGCATGTTGAATACATAATTCATATATTTGTTATTTGAATGTTCAAACTGATGTTCAAGTTTATAGTTGATCGATTTTCTTTTGATATATGTGCATATTATGCCCCGAAATACTATAGTACAGTTGAGGGTGAGGTAGGTTTGCACTCCCTCTCGAAATGCTCTCATATGGCCATTGTGTATACAGTCAATAATAGAGAAGTCCCACTCACTGTTTTCTTGCAGTGAGGGTGTATTTTTTATATACGAAATTCAGAGGATGAAAAGCGAATGTCTAGTGTTTCAACCAGATTGGTGTGTGCTACTTATGTTGACATAAGTAGTATATGATGTTAGTCGTGAACAAAAGGTCTGACAGCAGAGAGACAAGAAGATCGATCAGTAAAGAATGGGAAGATGATGCAATTTGTATGAAAATGAAAGAACAATAAAGTCTGAGTCATTTTGAGACAATCGATGGAAATTTTGCAAATTAAGCATTTATTTTATGATTGTTAGATTTTATTAACAAGTCCCGTAATGTTGTGTTAATTACATTCGATTGTCCCCGCCCGTGTTCTGTTCATTACAGGTGGATACACCGAGAGCAGTTGGTAGAATCTGATTTCAAACCAATGGTGTAAATAATCTCGAGGATCCTAAGGAAAAATCTGGTGTACGAACCAATAGTTGGTCACCAGCTACCATGAGACTGTATCTCTTAATGTTGTTGATTAAACCTTTATATTAAAGGCTCCGGGTATGGCCCCCTAAGAAAACCACCTGCTTCAGTTTGGACACTCGGACAGTATTACAGTCCATACATAACTCACATGACTTGTATGGCATATGTAAACAAGTATTACAAATATAAAGAGAAAGAATGTATTTGTAAAATCGCAGCGAAAGAATTTGAAGTAAATCCAACGTTTTGCTTGGCAATTTGGTCCAAGCTTTTTCATGGAAATATAATCAAACATTACAATAAATGTACACAACCATTTCCATACATATTTAAGTTATTATTGTTATTATCCTTGTCTCCTCTTAACCTTTATTATTAGTCTAGTTGACTTTTTATTTCTTTATATATATAAATGTTCTAAACAAGAGTATTATGTGTGATCAGATTGTTCGAAATGTATTGTGCTAATACATCATTACATAGTTCTTATAATCTTCGTCTTCTGATTGCATAATCGACATTCATTTTAATAAACAGTCTTTTTCCGTTCTCACGAAATTAGTTTACATATTACTTACGCCTGTTACCCCCAATGGAGCATAGGCTGCTAATTAGTATTCTCCAATCTACTCTATCATGGGTCTTTCTTTCTAGCTCTGTCCAATTGTTGTACATTCTTCTCATGTCTGTCTCCATTTCTCGGCGTAATATCTTCTTTGGTTTTCCACTTCTCATTTGGCCTTAAAGATTCCATGTGAGGGCATGCCGCGTGATGCATTTGGGTGCTTTTCTCAATGTATGTCATATCCACTTCCAGAACTTCTTCCGCCTAGAGCTCCTGTCGGTCCTAAGCCAGGATAAAAGAGGAGGGTTGAGCATTGGGTTAACAACCCCGATCCTGTAGAAAACTAACTCGTTAAACATGTCTTCATTAACAGAAGATTCTAAATAACTCTAGTTAGTTGGAAATAGTTGTATGCACTATTGAATAATAGTTTAAATAAATAGCATATAAGGATAAATATTCAATACCATTTAGACATTATACCATACCATATGTATATAAATTACTAAATTGTAAAGACAAAATAATGCAAATTATGTTAGTGAATTGAGAACTACGTGTTAGTTATAAATAGAAAGAATTTTTGTATTTTTATGTGCATAACTGATATTTGCAAATCTTCCTATCCATTCCTCTCTCTCTCACACACTCTCACTCTGCTTTATGTGTATTTATGATATTGAGTTTGTTTGATTGTGTGTGTGTGTGAGTGTGTACTTTTTTTATTTAAGTTGATAAACCAGCAATTTCAAAAATGGACTCTTTCCTCTGGGTTTTACAACGATTGATTAAACAACTCTTAGTACATATAAATTTGACCTGTTTTATTTCATACTGAAGACTACTGAATAGCAGTAGTCTTGTGGTGTATGCTACTTATGTCTATAGATATAAGTAGTATATAACATCAATCAGAAATGGAATACCTAGTAATATAAGGTTGGGAAGATGGAATCGAAAAAAACGGAAACAGAGTGTAAATGTTTGTTATATCCCGATAGGAATAATACAGATCAAATCGCAAATCTACGGATCATTGTGGAACAATCAATTGAATGGAATTCATCACTCTACATCAAATTCATTGACTACGAAAAAGCATTTGATATCGTGGACAGAACAACACTATGGAAGCTTCTTCGACACTACGGCGTGCCTCAGAAGATAGTCAATATTATACGGAATTCCTATGATGGATTAAACTGCAAAATTGTGCAAGGAGGCCAATTGACAGACTTGTTAGAAGTAAAAACCGGTGTCAGGCAAGGTTGCTTACTCTCACACTTTCTCTTTCTCCTGGTGATCGACTGGATCATGAAGACGTCAACATCTGAGGGGAAGCACGGGATACAATGGACATCTAGGATGCAGTTGGACGATCTAGACTTCGCAGATGATCTGGCCCTTCTATCCCAAACGCAACAACAAATGCAGGAGAAGACGAACAGTGTGGCAGCAGCCTCAGCAGCAGTAGGTCTCAATATACACAAATCGAAAAGCAAGATTCTCAGATACAACACAGCACGCACCAATCAAATCACAATTGACGGAGACGATTTGGAAGATGTAAAAACCTTTACATATTTGGGCAGCATCATTGATGAACATGGTGGATCTGATGCAGATGTGAAGGCGTGGATCGGTAAAGCAAGAGCAGCATATTTACGACTGAGGAACATCTGCAACTCAAAACAACTCTCTGTCAAACAACACCAAGGTCAGAATTTTCAATACAAATGTCAACACAGTTCTACTGTATGGGGGCAGAAACCTGGAGAACTACGAAATCCATCATCCAGAAAATACAGGTGTTTATTAACAGAGTGGGTCGGAGAATGCTGGTCTGTGGACTATGCTCCATTGGGAGTAACAGGCGTAAGTAAGTAAGTAAGATAGGAATTATGAATGGTAACATTTGGAATCCGTTTATAGACCAATAGTATACGTATATTTTATCATATAATTCTTAAATAACTAAGCTATTCATATTCGTGTTCATCTTATTGTAAGCTTGATTTTGACCTATGAAATATTATTATACGATTTACCATTCTTAAGTTATGCCTAGTCCATTCATTACAGTCTCTCACACTCACACCCACAGCTAAATCTTGTACAAATGTTGTTTCCTATCTTGTAGTATGATGTGGTCTGTTTAGCTGGTGTATATAAACCCAGTATGTTTGAGATAAATGATTAAGATCGCAGAGGCTAAGAGTGGTGTTCTGGACTTAACTGGTTGGGCTAGGCAGGAAGCAGGACCGATAAGGACTCTAGACTGCTCGTATAGGTTTTATGCGTGATTGGTCCGATCGATAATTCACTGCTATCTACTTGGCGGTATCATCATGCTATACATTAACAAGGCAGACAGGCCACATGTTATAACAGTGAAGGAACGAAGAAGTTTATGTTTGTTCATTTAGATAACAGTTTACTTACTGTTTTATAATGTATACCTGGATAACACTTTAAAACAAACCAATCTTAATGAATCCTATTGAAATGGTGAATGTTTATGATTGTTTGCTTTTATTAATAAAAATAGTATTGATGACTGTTTTGACTTGAATTGATATAATTTTTTTTTAATTTACGGACTAGTCTAAACAGTATGACATCCAATGAAGAAACTATTCAGTCAGTCAT